GAGAGGACAGGTTGGAACAAGGTCGAATTTACGATTTGTAGGTCGGCCGGTTCAGCCTCCGCTGCTAAAACTTAATATACAAGTTTCTTGATCGACGCATAGTCACCGTAAACGTTATCCAACGCGAGCGCGATAACTATCGAATCGCACCACGAGCTATTGTTAAGATATCGAACCGTACTGTTTTATATTATTTGGCTGTTTCAAAATGATATTACGTGTAAAGTTGTATCTCGGACGGACACGCGAACTAAAGTGACCGGTTAACTGCCGTGATCCTGGTATACGAGCTAATGAATCATTAACGGTTCTGTTTGTCCGTTAATGCCTCTTAACTTAACCCTTGGGAGTCTGTTTCATATCCGGTTGGCCCAAACCAGTCGAAAGCAGACAATACTCGTGACGCTTGCGTCATATACGCTTACATATACTTGTTTGTTACATATGTCGTTTACGAATCTTTGCGAACGTAAAAGACCGCGGCTTGGCCCGACTATACAAATTCCAGCGCTTTATTTCCTTTTTTCTTACCGCAGTCTCGCTACTGGCTTTAACGTTCGCTACAATTGTTCGCGACACGACGTCAAGAATATATTATCACCACGGACTAAAACGACTTTATGTAATTTCTTGTGAATTCACAGGTAACACGGATGGTATTACAGTCACTACCGGAACAAAAACGATTTCGTATCGGTTGCACGTTGCTTAATTATTCTCGTGCCACTTTGTGCTTGTCGTTATTAGGCAAAATGCAGCAGAAACCGCGGAAGCTCTGTTCGAAGCGCTATAAATATAGCGTGGCATAAATCGGCTCGAGTCGGTTTGAAAAGGTTCTGCGTATTAACGAGTCTAGAAAGGAAAAAGATGTATATCTGCATAAGGAGAATCCTGACGGAACGCGAATAACTTGGCTCGCGTTCTCGCACTCCGCGTTCGCGCGATTCTCACGAGATTGCCGTTTTAATCGCAACTTTGATCAGCTTCGAACGAAATAAAATAGGATCGGCGCGGAAACTGTTTTTCCTAGACATTTGGCTAATCAAGCATCGAAACGAGAGCTGAGCAGAGAATAAATGCCACTCGCACGACGTCGCGTTCGCCGAACAATCGTAGACACACTCGTAGAAGGTAAACGATACGGGCTGGCCCTGAAGAGAGCGTTATTATTTTTCGAGGACGATAACTCACGTTCCGCGAACGTGACCAGACTGCTAGGCCGGACATTTGTGCAGACGGAACGTTTCGTTTGCGCGTTTTCGCATTCGAGTAGACGAGGGAATATTTCCTATAGTCTGGCGGCGTTCCGAGACACGCTCGATCGCCTTCGTTTCCTCGTTATACGAACTCGCGCGCGAGAATCGCTTCGACTTAAACAAGATACCCTGCCGAGAGAATTCTAACGTGGCAGAAGGAACTTAACCCTAATATGGCTTGTACCGAACGGAACAACGAGTCGGCAGAGCGAAAAGCAGTCCCGTTAAACAACCGATTGTCAAAGAGAGAAAGGAGGTAGAGAGAGGCGGAAAAGAGAGGGGAAAAGAGAGAGCACGATGTTTATATTCGAGCAGCATTTTGCGAATATCGGAAGGAGAATCGAACAACTATGGACGATGGTAGAGGAATATTTTTCGTTCTAGCGGCAAGCGGTCTTGAGCAACGCCAACTCTGAACGATAACCTGATGCATAGCGGACGATGACGTCACGCCGAAGGGCAGCTTCGGAATCGAGGTTCTTCGCCTCCAGCCTCCCCTCTGCCAGGATAACCTGTTCCCAGAACCCTGTTTCATCGATCCATCCTTCGCGCTCGAACTCTCAAACTGTCGTCGTTCCTACGTGAAAACTTGAATATCTTCCTTGGCAAAGTAATCGTACGCGTATTACGCGTGGCAAACGGATAAACGAGTAATCGTGTCGGTAGATGATCACGCGACGGTTTCAAATTTCGTTCTATCGATCAGTTGAAACGATATCGTTTCGTTGACGCGTAATTTGTTTATTCGTCTATTTAGCAAATTAACGAGCAAATTAAGCCAGCTGTTATGGTACGAGAAAGAGGAGAAGGAATTACGGTAGATAACAATGATAGATGCACGACGAAGGAAACAAAAAAGAAATACGAATATACAGGGTGGTTGGTAACTGGCGGTACAAGCGGAAAGGGGATGATTCTACGCGAAAAAAGAAATCGAAAATATAGAATAAAAATTTTTCGTTCGGGGCTTTGTTTTCGAGAAAATCGACCTTGAATTTTTGGTCGGTACGCGTGCACTTTATCGCGTCTCATTATAACGGATCTCGCTGTAGATTTAAAAAAAAATTAAAAAAAAAGAAAAAATTTTTTATTCTATATTTTCGACTTCTTTTTCGCGTAGAATCACCCCCTTTCCGCTTGTACCGCCAGTTACCAACCACCCTGTATATTCGTATTTCTTTTTTGTTTCCTTCGTCGTGCATCTATCATTGTTATCTACCGTAATTCCTTCTCCGAGAAAAAATATAATTGGGCGGATAAAGAAAGTCGATTTGTAATAACGCGTTAGGAGTTAGATAATCGCGACACCGATCGCCTTAACTTACGCTAAGATTGGGAGAAGTGATCGACTCGATACTATTTGCACATTCTGATGACGGAGTAGCAAAATCTGAGATCGCTCGAGAAGAAGGCAACCCGGAAGAGGACCACGGTATTGTGTAAAGAACGTGAACGAGATAATCGTGAATTTCTCAAATTTCTCAAATTATAACCGATACTGCTATACTCCTATGAATCGTTACGAATAGTTAGACAAGATGAATCGTTGATCGTTAAGAGTGAATAATCGCTTGGCGATATTACGCAATTAACCACGATATACGTTAACAACGTTCGACGTTCTTGCTAGTTTTCCGTATCAACTTATGAGTATGCAAGCATCTACGTACCACATATGCATACGTACGTGTTTGTTAGAGAATGAGAAACTTCTTACCGCTTATATCAATAACGATGACTAATTGCGTGAGTAACATGTAAACACGTGACGAGAATCTACGCGCATGTTCTACCGCGTTTTTCGATACGTTGCAGATGTATGCGCTTCACCTACATGGGCGTTATTACGCGTATGGAAGCTGATGCTGGCGGTAAATATTAACGAAAAATGAACGGGCGAATAAAGCAGAAAAAGGAATACGCATGGGTACCTATATATATATACTATATATGTACGTATATATAATACATATGTATCTGGCGACGCAATTTCAAAGACATCTCACATTGTCCGGTTGATATTCAACGAGGGGACTCGATGACTAAGAGACTACGTAGGCGGAAACAAATCATCAGCTCTAAATTGATATCGCGTGCATTCTGCGAGATAGTCGACGCTCTTATCGTCTTTGCGCACTGTCTCTGCTTCTCACGAATCGCCAACTAACGACGCGATGATGTTCAAACGTCTATAGCCTTTATCAATGGTATCGTCCATCGATAAACGTTTTCCGTTTACATCGCTTTCGTATAAATCTCGCTTGCTACGTACTCGATGTTCGAGTTACGAAAACCCTTTTGTATCTGTTACTTTCTCCCGAACGATATTTTGAAAACACGTAGCTACATATACAGAGTGCTAAGAGGTTCGGTCATCTGTAGCGGTGATCGTGACTGTATGCGTACAAAGAGCTGCATGCGTAACCGACACGTGCACGTAGACCACTCTCGTTGTTAGACAAGCGAATCAAGAGCTTTTCTGCGTAAGCTCACGCGTCTCGATTCTCTCTTTTCGCGGCCTGATAGTCGATAATTTGCAAATATTTGCATGCATCGAATGCGCACGTACTGTGGCATCTCGTTCTGGTTTTATCGTATACGCGATGTACCACGTTTACGGATGTTTGATAATACGTGAATCATCCGGAAATCATTAGGAAAAAAATGTAATAAATATAGATGTGCGTGTTTACGACACGATGCTACTACTTACATTTTACGCGTAACGAGCAACGACTTAGGTACTCGTTATTGGACTCGTCCGTCCGTCTCTCGTACTATATTTCCATTACGTAACTCACGAACTACCGTAAGCTATCATACTGGAATCAGTAGTATACGCAGAAGATAATCGATATCAAAATACCGAGTTGATAAAACTGAACGAACTCGACAAAATATGTGCACGATTTCTTTGGGCTGTAGCCAGTTGTTGACGAAGATGACGGCATGCCTCGTTACGGCCGTCGTTCGCAGCTCTGTAATAATTACGATACTTGTTGCTCACTCATGGTTAGTTATTCGAGTAACACGACGCGACGTCTCTGCCGTTGCCCGTCGTTATTGCGTGCAACTTCTGTGGACAACAACTACGGCTATACCAGAAAAGTCCGCACGTTTGATAATAATTCACAGAGACGCAGACCGATCTCGTTGCTCTCTATAGCCTGAGTTTGTTGAATGGCTGGCGATCGATCGGTGGGGGCGCGAAAACCTAGTTGTATGAAACATATATGCACGTATGAAACACGTATGAAATGAATAAACGCGAATGTCCACGATGTTTGAACGCAGCCTTGGGTAAGCGTAATTCGCGAAACAAGGGCACAACGAAGGTATGTAATAACGGACAATAGTATGCGGCGAACAATGACATGACGCGAGGAGAACTGAAAAGAGCTTCGTACATCCGAAACTGTTGGTTTCGGGTTTCGCTACGTTTTACCAAGCGTTTATCGTGTTTCTATTCGCAGCGTCGAACGTTCGTCGCGCATCGCAAGAAGAACGACGCGACTGAAAGATGGAGGCAAAGAGATAACGGAATGGAGAAGAAAGCGTTCCGCGTGAGAGAGATCCGATATAAGTGTGACAGTTGGAAAGTTGCGATGGGAATGATGTCATCGTACAAATTACGAGTGTAGACAATTTTGCGGAAAGTATATCTACATAATACGCTCGCATTAAGATTAGTACAAATTATCTTGCTACTTACGCGTGCAGCTTCTTACGATTGTAAGAATAATCAAATTGCAATTATTATACGAGTGTCGAAATATTCAAATGTACGTACAACACGCTATCGATTTCTCCTTTCTTCCGAATATCGTCCTCCCTGCGATGATCAATCAATAATCTCTTTCTGTAAAATCGTTTTTGCCGACTACTCCCACGAATTTCCTGCGCGTATGCACACACTCCACACATCCGTGTTCGTCAAGTTACGAGTAGAAACAGGTTTCGTTGCTGCTTAGTTCGTCAACGTACGTTTTCTTTCGTTTTGTTATAATCACCGATTTCGATTCGTCCTCAAGATTTTTCTAGGATGGGAGGGCACGGAGAATTTTGTACCCACGGCTGCGAACAATCGGTCGTCCCGTGAGAACGCGAAAAGAAACAGTCCGCGAACATACTTATCGGCAGTTGATCTACGGACAAAACCAAGAACCAAGTTCTTGCCGGTTTAAAACAATGGTGCATCCTTGTCGAGCGTGTTATATCGTTATAGATAACGTAGATAATGCGCTTCCGGCACGCACAATACGTTTCGTATACACTCGCACACGAACCGCCATCTTTCTATCGATTCTCCTTTCGATTCTCGAGCGTGTAGGAATATCGTTACTCGAAGAGCGTAAACTAAGTATGCGGGCGTGTCACAGCGGCGAGGGCGGGCAGCTACTACAATAACAGTATAAGCATAGCTTCGCCCAAATTTTCTCTAATTTTTCCTTACGTCGCGCGTACCTAATACATATGATATACGCATTACGGAGATGGAAAGAAATCTCGTAGAGACTGCTCTCTGTCGCTCATCGTCACGCGCTGCTTCACATTGTTTTCTTTCTACGTATGACATTTTCGGCCTATGCGCGCGCTTAACTTTACGACAGCGTCGAGTTCATCGAAAACGACCATTCCTTCCAGAGGTCCTTCTCCCACTTTCGCGGTAAACGTAGATACGTAACGTATTCTAATATTGGACGAGACGTCGATGTCAAATTTTAATCGAGAGGCTGACACTTTTATCAGGGAATTCTTAACGATGGGGCCGAATAATGGCATTGCCCGTGCGACGATGCGACAACCCATGCACTTAGACCGTGATTACTCACCCGACTAACTCGTTAAAGGCGTCGCTGTGATCGAATTAAGGTCGGACAAGAGTGGAACTTTTCTCGCCATGATTAAGTGGGTCGTTGCTAAAACGTTATTGGTTGATTAGCTTTATCCATGCTACTATCGGACGGTGTGTCCCTTATGTTTCTCACTTTGACTGTGCCTCTCGCATTTCGTATTCTATCGAACACGTACCATTTTGTTCTTTAGTGCAGAGAACGTGTCGTCGCGCCATCAACGTCATCGTAATAGTCGCCGTCAAATTTAACCCGTGAAGAAGTCAGACGGAGAGGATCGAAGGAATAATCGTGAATCGTGTCGCGTCATCGATTTCACCCATGGTTCTTTCGTGTAACATTTTATCTAGACGCGGTCGATCGTCAAAAGATCGAAACGATATGTGAGAAATATTCCCTGTTAACTCGGAACAAACGAACGATCGAATGACAGAGCACTGCCATGGATCTTGGTACTTTCGTATAATATCTGTATTGTTTTCGTTTGGCTTCTATTCCGTCTCGCGAAATAAACAAGAGGGTTGTGGTTATGGGCTTTCGATTCCGATCGAACAAGTGCAATCGTTTGTTTGGTTTTCAGGAAAAGATGAATGCCCCGCCGCCGGTATACGCATCTTCCTGCCCTACGTTGCAGTCGAACCTGTCGCTGCACAGTTCTTCCTACTACAGTGAATACAGTGGAGCTGCGAGGAGGCGATTATCGTCGACGGGAGAGGCAGACACCTCGGCCACGTCTAGCTATGAAGGTAGCGATAGTTCTGAAAACAGCGACGAATCGCGTTTGGAGCCAGTGAGCCAGATGGAACGGGAACAACTCGAAACGTTTTTCAGGGGTTTGAAGTCTCAGGTAAGCGAAGCTGTGTGTGCTCTTTGCCAAAATGCAAGTGTACGTATTGTATCATCGTTTTGTTTCTTTCGAACGACAACAGGTGTTCGTTTGCGAGTCGTTGGCCAACTTGTATCTGGGAAGCGCGTCGCAAACCGAAAGATGGGAGCTTCGGTTTACCGGCATACCCGTGGTAGTTTTGGATCTTGGAGAAACCCGATCGAGATCCAAGAGGCGGATTCAAATTCTGTTGGCAGAACGTGGCACTTGTTTTACTCTTTGGAGGGAGACCATCGACAATTTGTCGTCGTACAAGGTAAAAGACATGTTGTCGGTCAGCCGATCGGTAATTTATAAGTAATTCTAAACGACTAGAGTTCGTTTTGAAAAAATTATGTTTCGCAGGTATCGGGCCCGGCTTTTCATACGATGTGTCTTTCGTCCGATCACACGCGCCTCGCGGGACTCAGCTTCGATAATCCGAAAGCCGCGAACGACCTTTGGCAACACATAGAAAGACTCGTTTCTTGTCCAGAGAACATTAGTCTCTCGATACCAGGGAAGAAAAAGAAGAAGCCCGTGCAGAAGAAAGTGGTTTTACCGGCCAAGAGTAATATCAGCCAACCCTGTCAATTTCAGCACGTAACGAGCGTCGACGCTGCCGATCGATCTCGATATTTTTCCCTTCAAACTATGGTGCCGCCTTTGAACGAGCTAGAAAATTCTTTGGAAGCAAATTTTTGAGATAACGAGAAGCCGGGCAATCGTTCAGATTCGTAGAGTTGTTCAGATTCTGTCGCGTTGCTCGTTCATCTATTGCGCCTATGTTCTAGGCGGATCTATGTATCCGATAAGATAAGATTACCTGAAAAATATGGCATATACCCTTCGAGCTTTCGAGGACGAACAAAATCAGACGATTTGCCAGATCTATCGCCTTTCTACTGCGTTTTATCTCGATATATAATATCGCAGGAGAAGAAAGCAAAAGGAACGTATCAATTGATCTTTGTTCTTCTGCCTTTTCTCTTCTTTTTTGGTCTTCCTTCTTTTCGTAAGACTAAAAGGAAAAAACAACTAATCAGAAGAAGAAGAAGAAGAATCGTTATGAATCTCGATCGCTCGGAGATGCCTGAGAAGCAAGAAATTCTCGAATCGAGAAGAAGAAAAATCAAAACAAATAGCCTATTATTCCTTCTACTATAATCGTAACTTTCGAAGGTTTGTGTTCTTAAGAATATCGTTGAATTCAACGATTTTGCTCGAAGAAGCACAACCCATGGTACATACAACATCTCGTCTTTGAAATACTTGGTGCGAGTTTAAGAGTTTATTTAAGAGTTCTTGTAATAATATTCTCTTGGAAACATTTGGCATCCATCATTAACGAGCGATGCCACGCTCATTTCGATCGTTGTCTTCACATTTGTCGTTAAAGTTCGCTGTAGTTGTATCGTCAGTGAGTTTTATGCGGCACGACGAATTAAAATGTTAATGTTATATACGAGTCGTTCTGAAATTTAAAAAAATTCCCGTTTGAACAAATTCGAATGAATTCAATACATGTACGTACTATATATATATATATATATATACTATACGTAGTGTGGGTGGGATATAAAACACGAGTCGAGGGAAGCGAAAAGAAAATCGAAGGCATTTTTCAGATTTTCTGGATTTTTATTGTGTCGCATCCTAACGGTTTCACGACAAAATGCTTCCTTTTTTAATAACGCGTTCGAATGCTCAGCCAAGAAATTTTATCACTCTTCCAACGTAATGCGTATCGAACTAACGAATTCTGTCCGAATAACGACTACGATAAGACTGGTTTTATCATTCGTCCTATATTTAGAAAAACGCGTTAAACATAGACATGATAATGATAATAGCGTTAACACGTATCTTCGTTATTCGACGTTGATCGTTACCACTAACCGTTTTTCGACATGGGACTTTTGCTGCTAGACAGAGTTTATTAACGTTATTGGCATCGATTAATAGGGTGTGAAAAAATGATGGAAGAGAGAAGGAAAAAGAAAAGAGAAAGATAGGAAAAATGGGAATGGAGAAGCGTGGTTAAACAGTATGTTTTCTGTTCCAAAGATGCGTAGTGTCGTTGTTGTCATCGTTAAAGCGTATCGTATAAGGAATATCAAGAGAATAATTAAATTGTTCGCGCTCAAGCATACCGTTAATCTATTTATCGGTGAGAAATAACTATCGAACGTGTTTGCCTGCTTCAAATCACTAGGGATTTTCGGTGATGATCTCTAAACACTTGATTGTATGTACGAAATAACTTCGATATCGACTAACGTATTGATTTCTTTGTCTACGACTGTGATATAAATATATTTGTATAGTTACATTTACGTAATATGTATCCGCATTGGTTAATCATTTTGATATGTAAGTTTACGACCATCGTTTCGCATGTAATAATTATGCTAATAAATAGTAAGTTTACGTAATAGATATATCGCATTCGTTTGCGTCATTTTGTCATATTTTATGCAACTGGTATACTATATGTAAATATGTACTATCGTACTGGATAGAAGTGGAAGTAGTACAACTTACTTGCAATTACAGAGAAAAAGACGACGAAAGACACGATTACGTATGTATTTGGCAGCGTAAGGGAACGAAGTGTCTAAAGAGGACGCAAGCAAGCTTCGACAATTATTGTCTCGTTCGAACCGATGCCGCGCGTCGCGAGACGTACGTCGTACGTAAGTAAATAGTGTGGAAGACTACGCGAAAGATCGGTGGGTCGTCGTACCCGGAACCAAACGACACTTTCCACGCCGTTCGAATCGGTGACTGACTTTCTTTTCGTATCCTACCTACCTAGTAAGTACCTAGATGTCGGTATACGTCGAAACGCACTAGTTTTGAATCGTTTCGAATCTACGTTAACATTCTTCTCGCGCGGGTCGTACTGTACTGCATTCACTAGACGTAGACCGTATGAGACTTGTGACACGCGAGCAAGAGTTTGCTCTACTCGAGCAGGATGTGATTTCCATTCCACTTTCACCGGTGGGAAGACTCGGTGACGATCGCGTCGAATCTACGCTATTCGCTTAGAATTAGTTTAATAAGGAACGTTCATCGCTCGTACGAAAAGCTAAGCGATCGGTAGTACGATCTGTATCTGTATTCCGTATACGGAGGACAAACCGCACAACCTGGAGGAAATATATGTATGTACGAAGGTTCTCGAACGGACAAGAAAGAACGAAAAGAGGTCGTGGAATTCCATAGAAACGTGTAAACACTTGGGTCGCGTGCTATCACGTACGTACTGTATTCGCATACTTACATCTTACGTCGATCGGTGAGTCGCGCGTGATAGACTTTGGACTGTGTATCGCGAAACTTTTGACGCCGAAAATACGAACTTGCTGTTCGTTCGTTGAATGTTTCGTCGTGCAAAAACTATAGCTACCGGTTGCTGTGATGCATATAGTCGTGAAGAAGGCAGAAAGAGAGGCAGATGAAGGATGCGTGCGACAGGAAGCGGTTGGTATACGGCGGACGAGAGACACGCAGCGATTCATCGATACGAGGAAACGACGAGTCTTCGCGTCGTCGGTGCGTCGTCGTCAGTGTGTTTCTAGAACTCACGTACTACATACATATTTCGTTTCTTTGCGCGAGCTCTAAGCCACTCTCGCCACCGTTACTTCAATTTCTTGATCTCGTGTCTCGTTTTGAATCAGCAGTATCAAAGTACAAGTACTAATTGTGTAGCGTGAAAGTTTCTTTGGCTTGACCGAGTGAAATTCGCGAAACCGCGTTCTAACCTACTAGAAAAAGCGTATATAATGGAGACGCAAATGCGCTTACGCAAAGACATGCACGAAGCCGTAAATCTGATACGATCTGAAGAAACTGTCGATCCCATTGTTGATCCGTACGACACGGCGGAAACGATTTACGATCTCCTTCTTTTTAGAATAACATTACTAAGCGATTGAGAATTACCGCGAGCGCGTTTTCAACGATCTTCAACGATCGAGTATCTAGCGAGAGGACTTTACTTGGTTCACGAGTTATACACCGAGATTGCGCGATCGGCGGCGAATAGGAATTAGATACAGACGCGCAGCGCCGTTCGACTTAACGACATCTTTTTCGACTCGTTTCCATCGTCAGATCACTGCGAACTTTTAGTAACCATGCGATTCCCTCGATCTCGGTTTGCTGTTAATTCGACGTCGCAGATTTATCTCGTTGCGATTTCGTTGATTAGAAACGTAAACTTGGTTGCAACAACAGCCAGGGATCTAGGGAAGTAGCAGATGTTGCGTGGGTTCCAGGTACCAGAATCGAAGCGAGGCTAAAGAGAGCCTCGAAGCTGAGCTCGGAAGGGGCAGGGAGAGAGGTATACGGAGACACCGATATTGGGTTAGTTTTTACAACTGGTTTCTAGTTTCCACAGTGGTGTAATGAGGCCTGTGCTTCCCGTGTAGACGTAGACGAACATCACGTTCCAGATTATAGTTGCGTCGCGAC